GTGGATCCTTAGGTACCTGAGGGGTACTAAGGACCGGGCATTGGTATTTGGCAGGAGTACCCTTACCCTATCTGGGTTTGTCGATGCTGATTTTGCAGGAAGTGATCTTGAAAAGAGGAGGAGTACTACTGGGTACGTGTTCACTTACGGCGGGACGGCCGTATCCTGGATCTCAAAGCTGCAGAAGATAGTCACATTGTCAACAACGGAAGCTGAGTACGTGGCAGTGACGGAGGCAGCCAAGGAGCTCGTTTGGCTGCAAAACTTCCTGAATGAACTTGGGAGACCTCAAGAGGATGTAGCTCTATACAGCGATAGCCAGAGTGCAATCCATCTGGCAAAGAACCCCGCGTTTCACTCGCGAACGAAGCACATCGAGGTTAAGTATCATTTCATCCGGCAACTTCTAGAGAAGAAGGTGTTGCAGCTGAAAAAGGTTCCGGGAGAGAGAAATCCTGCAGACATGTTGATCAAGGCGGTAACTTTGGAAAAGTTGAAGCTGTGTGCAGCTTCGACCGGCCTTGATAATTAAAATAGACAGACCCGGTAGAACCAGGAGCAGAGATGAACATGTTGATCAATGAGGTGTGAGGACAGATTGAAATCAGTCCTCAAGTGGGAGATTGTTAAGTCAATGGGCAACAACCCATTTTCTTCTAACTACCAAAGATAAATAAAAAAATGGAGTAGCACACCGTGGGAGAAAAATGTTAGCACACATTTGTAGAAATTTTGATGCATTCTTTCTCTATAAATAGAGCTAGAATCATGATGTAAAAATCACAACAAAAGAAAACATAACAAGAGAGATAGAGAGAAAAAGAGTAGAGAGAGTGTATTCATACGGGCGTGTGTGAGTTGTAACATTCGGTTTATCCTCTTTTTCTAGTTCATTCTCCTGGCTTGGTTCGCCCCCAGACGTAGGATTTAATCCGAACTGGGTTAACAAACTTTCGTGTCTTTTATCGATTTCACATTGGTGTGTTATTATTATTCCATCTTATCCGACCTTATTTCCCAACAAATCAACGGGTTTAGTGTGCCGTTGAAGGAGGAGCACCGGGTTTTCTTGATGAGAGTTTTGGTTCCACTGCACAGGCAAAAAGAGATGAGATGCACGCTTATCACAAGCAGTTGGCTTACTGTGTCAGCCAGTTTGTTGAAAAAGAGCCGGCACTCGGAGTTAGGGCAGCTAGGGGTATTTTGAGATATTGGCCAATGACCAACTGTAGGAAGGAAGTTTTGCTCATCGGCGAGCTTGAGGAATTGGTGGAGAGTATGGGGGCTGAAGAGCATTTAATTCTAGCTTTGCCTTTGTGTTGGCAGATAACCAAGTGTTCCAACAGTTGGAACTCGCAGGTACTTGTTTGCAAATTACAAGTTTTGGCGCGTTCTTAGTTTCTTCGCTGTATTCAACTTTTAGCTTTTGTATGCAAAGACTAAATTACTTGTTAAAAAAAGATGAAACTTATATTGGCCTTCGTTCGCGATTTTAGGTTGCTGAGAGGGCTCTCTATGTGTGGAACAACGAGCGATTTGTGAAGATGGTGTCTGAGGCTATAGACGATGTTTTTCCTCTCATAGTTGAAGGAATTGAGAGAAATCTGAAGGGGCACTGGAGCAGAAGTGTTCGCCAACTCACGGAAAGTGTGAAGGAAATGTTGGAGGAATTGGAACCAATACTCTACTCTCAATGCCTGTCACAGATCGATTATCATCATCGTCATTCATTTGCTTCACATGAAGAGGAGACGAGACGAAAAGAGAGGTGGCTAAGACTGGAAATGGCTGCACAAATTTGACAAATTCAATATGAGAATCACTATCTGCATGTTACTTTTCCATGAAAGGGAAAAATGATATATAGAACTGGGCTGTGCTCCAGAGTTTTTTTTTTTCTAATTTTATTTTTGGGCTTCCT